TTGGAGGAGATATTAAAGCGATGAAAAAGGAGGAAAGGAAGGCTGATGAGACTACTCATGCTACGTAAATGCTCGAATCGGTTGGTCCTGTGTAAAGGGCGATGGTGTAGGTATAAGCTACTACAAGTACTCTCTTGCTTTGTATTGCCATGGCCACAGCTACGACACGCTAAGGATCGGGTGAGAAGGAGGGGCGTGAGAAGTGGTGGTGATGGTAGTGGTAGGTTATTGAGAAAAGGAGGAGGCATCAGCCGACAGCAAGTTGCCCGGTGCTCTATATGAAAGACCTCGAGCCTGAGTTCCGAGAGCTAGTACCGAAGTATAACGCTGCTGTTAAGGATGAGCTGCTTCGAATGGTAGGGGGAAGGGGTTGTGGTTAGCGAAGGAGAAGGAGTGTTTATCCATAGGCTGTGCTGAACTTCAAGATGAAGGGGAAGGTTGCTAACGATGAGCGCTCGTTTGAGTTGCCATTTACTCGTACTGAGTTCCGTCGGTCTTTTGGTGAAGACATCTGGGCGGATGATTCCGCTGTGATGGGAGCTCTTATTAAGTCCAGGGTGAAGTGTACGGTGCGTAGCCCCTTTAGGTGAGGTTGTTTATCGGTGGTTTATAGTGACGTATGTGGTTATCTTTAGTGCTCTGGACGGCTCTGGAGATGCATTCGAGACGGTTCAAGAGTTGGTTCGTAACTGCCGACCGGGTTTCTCGATGGACCTGGGCAAGGTGCCTTACGCTCCTTTTGGTGATGGCTACTTGTCGAGTTACATCACTGACTTCTTTGTTCATGGACGGTTGGAATTCCTGCAAAAAGACAATCTGCTGGGAGCGTCTGAGAGCTGGAGGGTTGTGCATGATTGGGTGGAGACCCTCGAGGTGAGTTGTTGGTCTATGGAATGTCATTGTCGGGCTTTCTATGTGTTCGTCGGGGAGTGGTATGGGTATTTCAGCACTCAGGATTGGGGGTAGTTTCCATGACGATGAGGTGGAAAGTAGCGAAACGAGCAAGTCTAATTTCACTGAGATAGAGACTGTGTCGGTGTGTGCGTGAATTTTTAGTAATCCTAGTTTTTATAACTAAGTGTCGCGTGGGACTCCAAATGAAATTGTCATGGTTAGAGCGGTAGAGGTGGATTAGGAAGTTTATCCTCTCCTCGCCTCAGTGGCTGGACACTGTGTTGGAATCGATGACACGATTCGAAGCTCCGACGTTAAAAGCGGTGGTGAAAGAGTTGCACAGCACACTTGATAGGAAACTGTACGATGAGAGCACTAAGTAGGAGGGCTGATGATAATCATTGTTGTTGATAACAATAACAACACTTTACAAGGCTACAGAGTTTCGTAGTGGTACAGTTGTTGTGTTATTGAGTTGGTGAAGGAGTGGTATGAACGGCAACTACACAAGTGGTATTGTTGCAAATTGTATGCCTCAGGCGTACACTCGAATCGACAACATCTTTACTCTATGAGATGGTCATTCATGCGACTCCTCTCCGGTTTCCCGTAAGGTTCTCTCAACTTAATAACGCAACAGCGAAGATAACTCACGTGAATGGAATAATATCACTTATGGCATGAACTTCATAAATAGGCTTTGAATATCTCACTGGGATGGAAAATCGATGGTACCTAATTGGACTCAAATTCGCAGTAGTGAATCAGACCAACCTACTGTAGGGCAACTTGTGGTATCATCGTCCACTGGAATCTTCCTTTTAAACTTCTTCTGTGAATCCGGAATGGAGGCTTCTGAGCTGCTCACTATTGGAAAGCGTGACGCTAATCCTGACAGAGCTTCCATCAGCTCACGAGGTCACACACAATGAGTAATAAACATACATCCATCATACGATGTGGATAAACAGAAATGTGTCATTTAAAAACTACTAACTTCGTTATCTAACAAGCTTGAGGGAATGCCACAAGCCTCACACTGTCACTCCCGCTCGAGAAAAATCTGATCTGTGATTAGCCGACGATTCGCGACAGACGAGCACTTTCTCAAGAGCAGTTGAAGACTCTAGACACTCGAAGTTCAATTCTTCGACGTGGAATTTTCGCTTCATGTGTAAGATGTTTTCCTAATAGCCCTCAGAGGATTTGAAGTAGACTTGAAAATTGATCCCACCTGTATTTCCATAATTATTCCCCCCGGAAAAATATTTGTATCGTGGCCAGGCGTATCCAGAAAACTGCGCTTGAGTCCCGGTAGCAACGGCGCGTTGTCTTCCGGAATCATATGCTT